TTGTGGCAGAATTATCCTTAATATATGGCGGCTGATCTGTGGTGAAGTCAAGCTCAATATGTACACAGTTGAGGCTGTTGCTCTAGCTGTGTTGAGGCGAAAAGTCCCATATATTTCTAATAAAGTACTGGCAAAATGGTTTTCAAGTGGCCCTGGACAAGCCAGATATCGATGTATTGAATATGTAAATGAGAGAGCGAAGCTGAGCCTTGAAATAATGAATCAGTTAGACATGGTATGGTAACCTCTTGCTTTGGTAATTAATTTCTAGCTTGCTTCCTCTCTGTGCGCTTGTATGTGTGTTTCATATCTATGAGAATTGAGTAATGATATTAAGAGGTTGCTTTATAGGTGCCTTTTTTTTGAAGCCTGCATTTCATTGGTTAGATTAGCCTATTCTTATATAATTTCTCTGTCCTTTCTTTCCATTTGGGCATGATTAAAGTATTTCAATCGTCCCAATAGTTCTTCCATTTGGTCTTTTGAGATTAAACTTTTTATTTTATGCTTACCTGATTAGTCTTCTTAATAAATGTGTATCTGATTAGCTTTGTTGAGCTGATAATTCGTCAGAGTAATGTTTACTCTCTTTTATATTTTTCTATTCCACTGCCTTTTTATTAAGTTCATCATCACTGCTTTTGCAGATAAATCGAACATCAGAACTTGCACGTGTCTTTGGCATTGACTTTTTTTTCAGTTCTCTCTAGAGGTTCACAATACCGTGTTGAATCCATGTTTCTGAGACTAGCCCATGCACAAAACTATGTTGCCATATCCCCTGGCAGTAAACAGGTTCTTACAAGTTATCTTTTACTCTTTCATTTCCCTCCTAATGATGCCTGCTGGTGGATTGCATTTTTCTATCGTTGCATTAGATTCTCATGTAGCCGTGGATGATATATTAGACCATTTGATGACTGTGATGATTGATCTTATGTAGGTTGCTTCTCAACCAGCGATGGAGTACTTACCTCTTGTCATGGAACCAGAGTCTGGTCTTTATGCAGATGCAGTTGTCGTATTGGATTTTTTCAGTCTCTTTATCCGTCAATGATTATTGCATACAACCTTTGCTATTCTACACGCCTTGGAAAAGTTGTACCTTCAGAGGCAAATACACTAGGAGTCAGTTCGTTTTCACCAGATCCCCATGACCTTCATATTTTAAAAGATCAGATTCTGCTTACTCCAAATGGTGTCATGTATGTCCCCAAGAAGGTATTCTTTTCGTATTTGTTTCTGTTTTACAGATTTAATGCAATCATATGGAGCATGCATTACGAGTTGATCATGCACTCAGAAGAGGGAGGAGAGAGTAACTTCCAGTTCTTGCTGTGAATCATGTGATACAGGTTCGCAAAGGTGTATTACCCCGTTTGTTAGATGAAATATTGTCAACGAGAATAATGGTTAAACAAGCTATGAAAAAGCTGTCTGCTTCACAGCAAGTTCTTCACAGGGTACATTACGTTATAGAATACAAAGTTTGTGTGGTTCCTCTTAGTTCTCCGCACTAGTTGTTTGATATATGGATATTGTCCCTTACAATGTATGTGTATGCTTCAATTGTTAACTGATTCGTATCTTCTGAATTCCAATGTTTGATCTTGTGACCTATACCAAGATAAACGAAAGAAGTTTTATTCAATCGGCAAAGTTTCAAAGCTTTGATTTATATTCTGTTATTAATTTTGTCATCCTTCCTTGGAATGCATGTCTGGTGTGGATGTGGTTCAGTTGAAATGTGTTGTTGAATGAGAAGCGACAAATGTCTTTCGGTTGAACATGTTGTGGGTCCATAATTTATCAAGGGAGCCTCAAAATATGATGCAAATTTACAACTTCATTAGTGCTTTTTGAAAGAATGGATTCTCAAAGATACAGCAAGTTGTGACATTTTGGAATTCCTTTTTTCCATGGATTGTGCTCTTTTAAGTTCGTAAAGGTTGAATTTATCATTTTTACAAGGCATCACATTCTTTTCCAGATTTTTAATGCAACACAACTTGCTCTGAAGTTGATATCAAACGTGTATGGCTATACTGCTGCTGGGTTTAGTGGCCGCATGCCTTGTGCCGAGATTGCAGACATTATTGTTTAATGTGGCCGTAGTACACTGGAAAAGGCTATTTCATACGTAAATGCACATGACAAGTGGAAGGAAAAAGTTATTTATGGCAACACAGACAGGTATCAGTCAATTTCTTATGATGAATTAGATGAAAATTACAATCAATTTTTCTTGATTATGCATCATGACACATCATGAGTTTAGTTTGGTGTGATTTGGTCTATTTGTGTGATTGCTTCTGGGTCAATGGAGATTTTTGTACCAGTTCTTTCTCTTTTATGTGTGCTGAGATGGGAAAATTAACTGGCCTTATGTTTGTACCATGTTTGTCCTCCTAAAAGGACGCACTATTGAAGATTCTTTTAAGATTGGACGCGAGATTGTATCTGAAATTAGTGCTATGAATCCAAATCCAGTTGCTTTGAAGATGGAAAAAGTTTACAGCCAGTACTTCCTCCTTACTAAGAAGTGTTATGTTGGTTATAGTTATGAAAGCCCTGAACAGATCGAACCTATTTTTGATGCTAAAGGTATTGAGACAGTCCGTAGGGATACATGTGCGGCTGTTGCCAAGACAATAGAGCAGTCTTTGAGACTTTTCTTTGAACATCGGGACATGTATGAGGTACAAGCGCATGCGTCATGAATTTCTTTTCTTATTATATTTCAACTGGTTTGATAAGAATCAAGGCCAAAAAGGAAAAAGAACAAGATGCCTAATAAAATAGAAATATTCTTTGTGGTGAGATATCCATTGATTGCAAGTCAATCCATGCTCCCATGTTACTTCTTTAGTTTCATGGCTATCTTGTATTTGCTGGAGCATTTTGCCTGAAATATTGTTTTGCTGACTTTATTTTTCATGGTTGGGTGGTGATCACTGTTGTTTTTGTGCGTAGGTCAAAACATACTTACAGCGTCAGTGGAAGCGAATCATATCAGGAAGGGTGTCTCTTCAGGATTTTGTATTTGCAAAGGAAGTTTGCCTAGGCACCTGTCGGGCAAGTTCTATTTCGTCACTTCCACCAGCTGCAGTTGTTGCCACAAAAGCTATGAAAACTGACCCTAGGGCAGAACCCCATTATACAGAGCGAATACCTTACATTGTGATCCATGGGGAGCCTGGGGTTCGTCTGGTTGACGTGGTCGTGGATCCATTGAATCTCTTGGCTATTGATTCACCATACAGATTAAATGATCTTTATTACATCCATAAACAGATAATCCCAGCTTTGCAGCGAGTGTTTGGGCTTCTTGGGGCTGACTTGAACGAGTGGTTTTCAGATATGCCCCGGCCAGCCGGAGAAGCCTTTGGTAAACGCCCCTTTTATGCTTCCAATCCACACTGAACCAGAATTGATTATTACTATCTTTCGAGGCATTGTATCTTGTGCGGTGAGTTGGTCCAGGGATCAGCCCATCTATGCAATTAATGTTCTGAAAACAAAAGTTGTGCTACTGTAGCTGTGATTGGAAGAACTTTGAAACTGGAGAGAGAGATGCATCAGCTTGATGCTGTAAGTGCTCTGATCAGTTTTTTTTTTTTTTTTTTTTTTTTTTTTTTTTTTTTTTTCATTTACGACACTTAACCTCTCCAATTTTTCGTTCTTTCTTAGAACCTTTGCTTTTTGTATCCTTCAATAGAATTATTACATTGTTTGATATATGATTGAAATTTGCATTTACGGATATCACTTCTCTCTGGCAGATCTGTCGACATTGTGGTGGTGGCGACTGGGTTGTAGAAAGCGGCATCAAATGCACTTCTCTTGCATGCTCGGTGTTTTATGAGCAGTGTAAGGTTTGGAAAGAATTACAAGGGCTTGCTTCTGTTGCAGCGGAAACTGGTTTCTACCCGAAATGCATGGTAGAGTGGTTTTGAAGACTGCAAGAAAATCTGTTACTTCTAGTATTTGGCCAAAAGCTGTGTTGTAGTTGTATGGTCGTATCAGCTTTTTGTTTTAGTTTCTGTAAGACAAGGTGAGCAGCCCCGAGAAGGGCATCTTATGCTTGCCAATCTTGCTTGAGGAGCAGATGGGTGGAAGCCCTTGCTTGAGGAGCAGATGGGTGGAAGCAGAGGTTATGTTGATTGGATAATACGAGTACAAAGGCAAGGCCAGCTAAATCCGTAACATAGAGGTAATGACTGCTGTTAAACTATGGCATTTATTGGATGTTGCTTCACACTGAGTTTGATCAGATTCAAAATGCTTGTGCTCTAAGATTATCCCTGCTCACCTCTCTTTTACTTTCAATCTGGCAGACTGTTTGTTACGCCGATTAGATGCCTAATCTGTGGAGTGGCTGAGCAATATCTAGAGTTGAGGATGTTGAGTTGAAGAATCGAAGGAGATGTAGTGTAGTCATGTAATCTTGAGTCGTCCTCTTATGCTAGGAAGAAACACGTAAATTCTTTCCACGTTTTGTTATAATTCCATATTTTTTTCCCCTCCGATCTGATTGATCAGCGAGAGGACATAAGTGGTGTGATGAGCAACCACCATGATTACAAGATTTGTGGGATTTTGTTGTATTTTCCTTTATCCTTGGTCAGATGTTAAATTTTGTTGAGAAATGGTTGCATTAATACTCGGAAGGTTATTTGTCTCTACATGCATATGATATCATAAGATTCCATTCCATGCCTTGTACAATTTCAAGAACGGCTACGTGTGAATTTGAATTGTTTTCAAATAACTGAAAGCGCTTGATGAGTTGGTTTAAACGAGTCCTGATAAGTTGGGTCAACCCTTTGTACCCTCATTTATTTATTTCACTTATCAACCTGTTGTACATCATGTATATATTTGAGCTAACATGGCTCGTTGTACACTCATTAAGTCGGGTTGAGTTGGATCAACCCATTGTACACTCATGTATAAACTTACAGCTGGTTGGAACTTTCTGCGCCTTAACGGGTCAGTTTGGATGAATCCGCGAAACTCGTTAACAGCCCTTAGTAAGGACTTTTGTGTAATTTCAGTAGTCCTAATCCAAAACCCTCAGGTTGCTCGCAACTCACTCTCTCTAGCACGCCGTTGCTCTGTGAGACTGAGAGATCGCTGTGCTCCTTCGTTCTGGCCCCGGTTATCTCCCTCATCTTCTTCCCTCAAACTGAACTCCACCACTCTCTCTGGTAAGCTCCGATTCCCTTCCACCTCTTCTTTCATTTCGATTACTTTTCGTTTCTGCAGATTAGATTCGTCTATTTTTTCTCAGATTTTACTTGAGCTTGATTTTAGGTGGTCTCTTCAGAACAGCTTCGAATTAATTCGGAATTAGTTGATTTTTGTTGATAATTTCAACTGCGATTGTGCTTTTGTTGTGCAAATTATGCTTTCTCGGTGTGATTGGATTGGAGATTTTGGGTTTCTAGTTTTTTTTTTTTTTTTTCCCCTTTTCCTGCTGCTCTCTCAAATCTCAATTTTCTTACTTTATTTCTTGATGATCATTAAATTACGTGACTTAATTGGCATATATTGTGTTTTTTTCTCGTTAATTGGATTGTTTATACGATTCGGTTAACTGGGTTTTAATGATGTAAGCCACTTGTGAATGTATTGTGGGAGACTATGGAGGCTCATCTCCAAAGAAGGCCGGGTGTGAGAACAATTTCGTTTTGGTAATCTAATGCTGCTTTTTATTTCCGACCCTTTTCGGTTTTTTTTTTTTTGGTTGTGTTTTGGATAATGGGTTTTGCTTTTTGTTCATGGGTTTTGTGTAAAATTTGTTCATTTGTTCATTTGTATATTCTCCAATTAAAATTTCCATTTTTGGGTAATTTGGAGCCGTTAATTTACCCTCATGAAATTAAAAGTATTGAGTTTGCTTTGTTTGGGTTGGTTTTTGGATTGGAATTGGGTTGTTGTTGTTGTTTCCTTCTCTTTTTGTTTTTAAATTATATTTCGTTTCCTGTTTTAAATTGATAGTGAAATATGTTGACTTGTGGTCAGCTGTTATTTGCTAGGACATATACAATGCTTGATTAGGTCTTAGGTTGTCACTTGGATTATGTCTGTTGTTTTTGCATTGATTAGGTCTTAGGTTAAATCTTTAGTTTTGAGGCTAATGTCGATTGTCACCGAGAGAAAGAACAGGCATTGATTAGGTCTCTGCATTATGTCTAACAAATCGCAGGACAGAGGATGCTGTTGTTTTTGGATTTTGGCAGACTGTTGGTATTAAAAAAGGAGGCGTTAGGCTAATGTAGTGTAGGGGGAGAGTAAAAGGAAAGGTCCTGAGCAAAAGCACTTCACTTTTGAATTCAGAATTTCAGAGGACATGACCTGCTTTAGGAAAAATATATATAGTAGTTAGTTTTAGTATGTACTGTCACAACGGAATTTTCTACTGTATTTTGTAGCTTTTGATTCTTCGGGTTTTTGAACCGTTAAATCTTTAGTTTGGGCTGGAACTAGATAAGCGAAAGGAGTAGAACTTGAGTCGTAGAAATTGATTGAAAAAATGCATTCTACATCAACTGATAGCATACCATTTCCATACAGACCATTAATGTTTTCATCATCAAGATTCTTGTATTCTTCTTTTTGTTTTTTGGCATGGTGTATTGACATGTATCAGGATCTCTCTTTGAGTATAGTAGTGTTTTCTTTTTTGCTCTCAAATTGCATCTCAGCTTGTTAGTATTCATATGTTTTAGTATTCATATGTGTATCTCCAATTTTTCGGATTCAATTTGCAATTTGTTGTGAATTGTGTGCAAAGTTTTCTGATAAAATGCTTGAAAGATTTGGGATTTGTACATCCCGTATACTATTAAATCCCATAATCAAGGTGCATCCCGTATACTAACAGATTAATAACATCCCCACTATAAAAAGGAACTCAAATCAATTGCAATTACAGATTAATAAGTTTACCACTATAAAAAAGGTAGAAGTAATTACTTAATAAGAAAACTAGAAACATCTTAGCAGGATTATGAAAACTGGAAACATCTTACTTCCATGAACAGTAGAATGACTATTCCATTTATTGGTTTATGAAAATTCGGGATAATGCTCCAATAGTATTAGTCTTGATTAAGCATGGTATGCATTTTAACTTGTTCTTTTAAAGATATTTTTCTGCGTAGTGTGCATGTAATACTAGTTGAGAGATATCATTAGGAAGACAACATCCTCCTCTACAAATTGAACATGTTTGAATCTGCTTGTCGTATGCTTTGTCTATTAAATCTTGTTAAGCTAAGGCATAGATTTGATACTTTCTTGTGTTGTTATAAGCTCAAATCTATGGTGGATGTTTGTGTTTTCTGTTTCTTCTGTCCGATTTGCAATTTCATTTCTTTCCTGCGAGTATGAACCAGTTGTGATGGGTTATCTGATATTTAGTTTAATTATCCTTTGATGTTTATGCATGCAAGCATGTCTATCAGAAACATTTGTCACATAGAGGATGCAATGTAAGAAGGTGCCACAAAGATCAATATTGTTTGCTGAAATAGTTGTGTTAAGATATTGGAGAAAATTAAAAATAAAAATTCTCAAGATCAATGGTGCCACAAAGTGGCATACTAGTCATAACCTAAACCTTTAACTCACTCTCCCTTTAGTTGGGCAGGAACCAAAACGTAGAGCACCGATTGAATTCGGCAGCGCGAACAAACAAGAAACGAGGAGGAAACCCTAGAAGTGTATTGAATGGCGGTGTGGAGAGCTGGAGCAGCTTCGTCTTCCCTGTTGAGTAGGCTCCTACGACACTCCAACGTCATCAACGTCACCGCCCCTACTCGCACTCTCTCCACCGGTATTTCCTTTCATGCCATTTCTGCATTTCCTATTCCACATTTCAGATCATTTTAAATTAGCTGATTGGAGCTGTAAAGATGTTTAAGCTTGCATGTTAAGCTCATTGGGTAGGATGTTTAAGCCAAATTGCTATTAAATTAGCTGATTGGAGCTGGTAAAGATGTTTAAGCTTGCATGTTAAGTTCATTGGGTTGGAGGTTTAAGCCAAATTGCTGTTTGGTTTCTGAGAAATTAAAGGGGGAAGAAATGTGGATTTCAGTTATTGGTTACTCAGATTTGAAGTGAATTCTTGAGTGAAGTTATTGTCTGTATAATTTCTATAGGAAAGCTTGTTAGTTTATAAAATTAGGAGAAATACCCTGACAACTAGAAGGTCAATGCTATATAGGGTTAAGCAGAAAGTTATGGCAGAGCCAGTAGGCAGTAGGTGGCTAGAGTTCGATGAATGAACAGTTGTATTTCAAAGGATGTTTTTGCCATAGTTTGTGGAATCTGGGATGTTTCTACTTGAGAAGACAATACAGATGTTCTGTTTGTCTTAAACAAAACAATGATAAGAAAATAACCGTTGTATCCATAAAAGAACAATCGTCTTCTATGTTGATATTATGCTATTTCATTTCCTTCTCTTTGGCGTCGTCTCTTTCTTCTGCACTGTAAACTACCTTTGCAGTTTACACCCATATTAATTTTAGCAATGATCCTGAGAATGGTTGTGTCCATTTTGCGGTGTTGCTTTCCGTGAGCCATCTGGAAAACTAGGAAAAACCTTTCCTTTTAATTGCCTTGATCTAGTTGCCGCCGAAACGAACTTTACTTGTATTGTTATACTTTCCACAGATGTAGCTGGTTCAAGTAATCAGTTGTTTCACTATGATATCAATTCACAATACGGAAGGTGCATGCCTCTTGCTGATATGCACATTCAAGCCAAAATACACAGCATCGAGATGAACCCGGGCCAAGGTGGCAAGTTAGTTCGAGCACCAGGCACTTTTGCAAAGATTTTGAAAGAACCCACTGCTTCAAGGTGTTTAGTGAGACTGCCTTCAGGTGTTGAAAAATGGATTGATGCTAAGTGCCAGGCTACTATTGGTACAGTCCCAAGTGATGGAAATAAGCCCAAGAAACTCTATAAGGCTGGGCAAAACCGGTGGCGAGGCATTAGACCAACGGTTAGAGGAGTGGCAATGAATCCAGTTGATCATCCTCATGGTGGAGGTGAGGGTAAGAGCAAGAGTAGTGGGTCTCATGGGAAGGGTTCTCGAACACCTTGGGGAAAGCCTACCAAGGGTGGTTACAAGACCGGTCCCAACAAGCGTAGAAAGTAATGTTTTATCATTCACTTTATGTTGACACTAGTGTGGAAGTTAGCTTTGTGATGAGTTCAGATGGCAATAAAAGTCGCACTTAGATGTTTAACTCTTCAGAAGATATTCAAGGTTTGCATACCTTATTCCCTGGCCAAATTACTGAAAGTGTTGGTTTTCTGGATTAAGCTGTGTAAGTAGCTTAGTTGCTTTAACTGTAATGCATTTTACCTGATGTTAATGATTTGGTATCGAGCGGGTTTGATGTTGATTACCTGAATCAATTCCAGGTTGCATTTGTTACAGTTTTGCCAATGTACTGAGTTGACTTGATGATAGACAATGATATTTGAAGTTTCGTCCTTGATGTCTGTTTTTGCAAATATCGCAGATGTTTAGTTTGGTTTTGTTTCTAACATAGGCTTATCGCCTGTGCTTTGAGAAATGATAGGCATGCCATGTACGCATCAAGGTATGTGACGTTTCAGAATTCATTGCCCTTTTAGAATTGTTTGATTTGCGATAGGTTTGTAGAGCCGGGACTGTCTTGATGAGAAACACACACTTGATCAGTTGGAATGAAAAATCACCTTATTTCTTCACCCATGGCAAAAGTTTACCTTGTTTGAGGGCCTTTCCTGTAACACAGAGAAATTGGATTGATCTTGCCTGATCCAGTAAGGTTTGCCTGACATGATCTTCCTTGATCCTTGTTTTGTTAGAGGCAGCCAATTCCTCTTTTAGGCTTAATCCATGTCATTCTCATCTGCTGCTGTGCCTGTACAATACCCAAATCAAACCAAATTCAGCCTGACCATAAATAAAATGAATTAAAAAAGCAATTACGTGTAATTTTGTCACAGGTAATTGCTCTTGAATAATGACACAAATAATAACAGAAACTGAAGTTTGCCGCGTTTTATACGTCCAAAAAAGCAACAAAAAAAAAAAAAAAAAAAAAACATCCAAACCGGCTTTTCCGCGGCAGTCTGTGGAACTGGAAACCGGAGGCATAAAATTACATCACTGACATTCCTCCCCCTCTATCTCTCTCTCTCCTCTCGCTCTCTCGTTCGAGACCTCATTTCCTCCTCTCACCGCGTCGATTGGAATGGAGAGCTTAACCTCTCTCTCAGAGCCCCGCATTGAAGCTCTCGATCCCGACCCCACCACCGCCACCAGCATTACGGGTAACAAGTTGATCCCCAACAAAAATAAGGAGGAGGAGTTGACAGAGATGATCGTGTATCTGTAATTGTATAACAGCTGCTGTGCATGCGCGTACTTCTTCCATTGGATTATATTAAATGGAGAACATCGCGGCGCAGCTGAAGCGGGGCATATCACGGCAGTTCTCGATGGGGTCGCTGCGCCGGAACCTCAGTCGCCAGTTCTCCCGCCAATCCTCGCTCGACCCCAGGAGGAACAACTTGCGCTTCAGCTTCGGCAGGCAGTCCTCCCTCGACCCCGTCCGCCGCCCTTCCCACGACGATGACGACGACGTCGATCTCTCCGTCCCCGAGAATCTCGACTCCACCATGAACCTCCTCAATCAAGGCGTCGAGGACCTCCTCAATCAAGGATGATGAATCAGTTTAATTATCCTTTCCATTAATTCTCTCTGTTAATCTGTTTGTTTAAATTAATCAAATTTTAATCAGATTATTATGATTGTAAATAGAATATGCTTACAGGTTCGTATTTGTGATATTATAATGTGGGAGATTGAATATTTCAAATTGAATGTGGACAGGCAGCTGCAGATGCTAAGTATTTACGGGAATACGGAAGTTTACAATATTCTGAAATCCCGTGGAGCCAAAGTTCCGGTCGTCCGATCAGCTTCTTTCTTCCTCTCGGATTGAAAAATTTAGCCTGTCTGCAGGTGGAGATTAATACATTTGTTGTGTTCTCTTTGTTTTTATTTTCTACAAATTCAGGAAGGCACCAATGACTGTTGTGAATCCTCGAGAAGTTCCAGAGTATGAGCTCAATCCGTTAGAGCTTCAAGTTCGAAAGAGTGACGGTATCACAAAGGTTGTCCCTTTTCTCCTTTTCTCCACCATTTGTAGATTTCTGCTCTACTTTTCAATGTTCATGTATGCTTCGGTCTAGTAGTAGTATTTATGATGTCTCAAGTCTTCGGGTGATTGAAAGCAGTTTCTTTGTACTCAGGAAAATTGGAAGTCTGAGTCCCCTATTATTGAACTCCTATCAGGATGTGCATAATGTTGCAGATCGGCAAGACAATTAATGTGTGCTTTCTTGTTAAGACAGAGTGCTGATATATTTCTCCCTTTTTCTCAACGGGGATCGTATCAAGTGGCTAAATGGAATGGTACGAAGGTTTCTGTAAAGATACTTGACAAGGATTGCTATACAGACCCTGAAAGCATGTATGTACTCTCATCCCCTGAAAACCATTTAGGTGATGTTGTACTACCCCTTATTTCTAAAGTAGTACAATTTATGTAATCTTCTTGTTGTTTGAAATTGAATTGCTCCTTAGGTATTTGCAGAGCCATTAGTTCAGTGTGGGATGGCACATTTTTATGTTATAGACTTATATGGTTTTATGTTGCATTCTTTCTTCATATTTCCTTAAATCCTACAGTAATGCTTTCAAACATGAGCTGGAGTTGTTAGAGAAGGTTTGGCATCCTAATGTTGTTTAATTTGTTGGTGCCATTACCCAAAATATACCGATGATGATTGTTTCAGAGTATCATTCGAAGTAAGCTCTCTCTCTCTCTCTCTCTCTGCATATTTATTGAATGTGTGTGCGCGCACTCATATGCACTTAAATATCTTAACCATGACTTGGCAATGCTTTGATGGTGATATTTCAGGGTGACTTGGGAAGCTATCTTCAAAAGAAAGGGCGCTTATCTCTATCAAAAGCCCTAAGATTTGCTCTTGGCATTGCAAAGCATGTATATGTTTTTCTGCCAATTATTCTTTTAAAAACTTCCTCATTCAAATATAAATTCAGCATGCAAAAAATAAATAAATAAATAAAAGTTTTATGTTCAGATGACAAGCACATAAATTGTATCATATGGTTTATATATCTATGAGTACCTCAAGCATGTTCTTCCTTCTAACTGTCTAGCTAGGTTCAGCCAATTCACATTTATGACATTTTTCTTTTCTTATTCTTGTTACCAGGGGCGTGAATTATCTTCATGAATGTAAACCAGACCCAGTAATCCACTGATTTAAAGCCAAACAACCAAATGCACAAGTTGATGTAATTGGTATAATAATTGCCTATTAATATTTTTTTATGGTTCTAGTTGGGATGTACGGTTAATTAATATTTGAAATTTTGGTGAGGTGCCAGAAATATTTTGCTCGATAATGGAGGTCAACTGAAAGTAGCTGGATTTGGCTTGTTAAGATTGTCAAAAATCTCACCTGACAAAGCAAAACTAGCACGGCCTTGGGCTGACACTGACCTTTCAAGTAAGCTCTTGTACAACTGAATCACTTTCTTGCCTTGGATTCATCTCTCACGATCTGCACTCTATGATAAAATTATTCGGTCTTTACGAGTAGAAATATATTCATAATTAAAATTTTTGGATTCTGATTGTTGCTTAACTTATGCTCTTTGGGAAGGAAATTTTCTCTTCGACTCTATAGGAGCGCAAGTTCTTAATTTCTGGGAAAATCTAGAAGAATCCTTTTTGAATCATTTAATTAGACAAAAGCTGATCAATCTACACAAGTACTACATGCGTATTAGTGTATACAGGATGTGCTTGTTGCTCTCAAAACATTGTATATTTCTGTTTTTTGCAAAAAGAATACTATATCTACTCATCTGAAACTCGTCATCAGGACTAGAATTATAATTTGTCCTCTTTCATTCTATGTTTATATGTGGCACCTGAGATCTACAAAGATGAAATTTTCACCAGAAGTGTGGATGCATACTCTTTCGGTCTTATATTATATGAGGTACCTTTCATTTTCACTATCTTCATCGTGTTATCAAGTATAATTCATTGTCAGTTCAGCACTTCTAAATTAGTTTACTTTCCTGGGTTTCTAGAATATACAGTACATTGCTTTCTCAAGCTTACGCACTACACATAAACACTTTGCTGTGAACATAGCACTCTTGCAGACATTGACCTTTGAATTCATATTTTAAAACACCGATGGCTTGGGGGAATTTTGTGGATGGTTTTTTCTTTTTATCTTGTGTGGAAAAAAATTACGTTGCTGCTTATTATTTTGAAATAAGTAATAACTGGTCTTTGTGTGGTTTTGTTTTCTCATAGATGGTTGAGGGATTACAACCATTCGATCCCAAGCCTATGGAAGAGGCTGCGAAACTGATGTGTTTGGAAGGAAAAAGACCGCAGCTGAGGACCAAATCAAAAAGTTATCCCCCTGTAGTAAAAGAGTAAGTTTGATTTCAATACAAGTCACCGCATGGTCAACTGATTAACATGCGGTAACTTTTTCTCGTCGTATCTGAACGGGGAACTGTAATGCTTAATTGATGATGCTAAAATGATATGCATGCAGGTTGATTGAGGAATGTTGGAATCCAGAACCTGTTATGAGGCCAATTTTCTCGGAAATTATTGTACGGTTGGACAAGATAGTTTCAAATTGCTCAAAGCAAAGCAGGGATGGTGGAAAGACATGTTTAAGCTGCCTTGGTACGTCTATCATCTGTTTATCTTCTAAAGGTTCGTGTATTTTCTCTCGCACACGGACAAGTTGTAGATTTCATTTTCTTACTGCACTGTAACGCATTCTATGATTTGATGATGTGCAGGAAGAAGAGGAGGCAGTCTTAGTTCCTTTGGAAAACGAATAGAGAAAAGGGCTTGGGCGTAGACTAGGTGCTGGGGCTTGACGTTGCAATGTAATTAATAATCAAGAGGGGGGCTTTGATAGGAAAAACATTCTCCTTTAAAAGCACACAACGTTAATCAACTTAATCCTAATGTTAAAAATATTTTGCGACTCCCTAAGAAAATTATCCCACGCAAATATGCTAGAATTTGAAATCATCAATCAAAGTAATCAACCTATGCCTCAGTCTCAGCTAATTTGTAAAAACTCTTTGGACAAGGTTTTGGGTTAAAAATAAAAAATAAAAAATAAAAAAACAAAGCGAAAATTAAGATAAAAATCTTCACAATAGAGAGAAGAAATTGCATAAAACAAAAACACTATAAGTTTGTCTTAAACTCTCACCATTGTTTTTTAATCTCATTCCATACCTTAAAATAATGAGAGTCCTACACCTTCTTGTGAGTGTCCAACACAAACATTTGTCTTGTTATTTTTTATTATGAGACAACAGTCGAGTTGTAAGACTTCAAAGATAAAATATATATG